GTTTTTGTCATGTCACTTTATTCAATTATTTGTGATGATCTGCAGGTGTCCCTATACTTTTGTCCAGGTAGTGTACACTATGCGCATTATGCGCAATATGCTACCATGCGCACTGTACGCACTATGCGCGAAAAAAAATCATGGTTACTATGAATGGCACATCTCTAGCTGTTGCCATATATGGTATGAATAAAACCATTCTATCAATTAGATTTTAATTTATAATCTAGTGAATGAGATCATTTGGAAAAGACACGAAGTTAATATGTCGGGTTGGAAGTGGTTGGGAATTCGAACAATTAGTAACAATAGTAATAGATATTTTAATAAATAATAATTATATTTAAAAATACTAACAGACAAATACTGTAGTTTGAATTTAATATTTCTGGATTGTCATATCTTATGAACCTGACAATTCTTCAAGGATAATAATAATAATAGAAATGTTATAACATCATTCAGTAAAAAAATATATTAAATATATAATATATTTTCTGGCTTCAAACTTTCAGTTGCCACCACCATGGAAGCATGCATATAATGGAAATTTTTTAATGGGTGGTATACATTAACATTAGTAAATATTTGATCTTTTTTTACATACAATGAAAATTATGGATATTTACTATAGCTTTATATTGTAATATAAAGAAAAATGTTTTTTTACATTGAAAAATTATTTAATTTTCTACTAATCTATTTTTAAAAAAATATCTATCATTATTTATCTATCATTAATAAAATATAAATACAAATGCTTATAAATTAATACAGTAGTATTCTCATAAATAACCTTCTCAGGAACATAGTAAATTTTTCTAAAGATATTCTTAAAGAGATGTCGTTCTTAGATGGAAGTGTTTTTCTATAAGCTTAGTTAATTTATTTCCAACATATCTGCTCTTCTTTTCATATGATGTTCATATGATGTTCTTAATATTCATATCTTAATTAAATTTTTGAATTGAAATCAAATCGTTGATTTGTGGATGTGTCATAAAAATTATAAGCATCAATTATATTTTCATTTGAAATGTTTGGGTTAACCGATAGTTCAATACTACCATTATAATAGTATCCAAGTTTTATATTAACTCCAGAATCAATAACTTCAGGTGATAGACACTCATCATCATTGTCATTATTACCATTATCATTATCATCATCACCGTTATCACCATCACCATCACCATCACCATCACCACCATCACCATCATCATAATCACCATCACAATCAGTAGCATTATCATTATGGATCGGAGGAACTTGTTCAGGGTCTACTTTAGTATTATTCTGGTCCAATTGGCTGGACATAATTTCGTTGATAGAAAATGACGAAACAACAGTTTTAATGATATCCATTTTTTTTATCAAAATTAATATCCAAAAAATTCAAACGTCCGTGTCTATATATATTATTAAATTTAGTTAAGCTTTATTTTCCATTATGATTACCGTTTTGTTTATACATATAAAAGAATCAATAATAGGAAGAATTCAGTATCTACTCAAAATTCGCATTGTATCAAAAGAAGGTGTTTGAAAAGCAAAAAGGTAAATAAATAAGCAAAATATTATCCTTTATGGGTTATTTCGAAAAAAAACAGGATTATAAAGTTTATAATTCATTAATTTTGATTTTTTTTTGTTTTACTCCGTTGAGTAAACCAAAAAATATGATGTATAACTTAACCATAAAAAGGATGGGTTCTTAAAAACTGTTCGTCGATTAGAACCATCATTATTAATATATTAGTAATGTCATTGTTGTTATTATTAAGATTGACTTTATTATGTTTCCGATCCATGTTTAGCATCTTTGAGAAGTTTTTTCTCATTGGAAATTTTTCTTTAAAGTGTTTCCACATCTTTGGTGTGGTTTCTTTTTATTTTTGTAGTTGGAAGAAAATGTTTATTTAAAGTTACTCATTAACAGTAATGTTGGCATTTTTCAATTCAATAAAGAAGAAATTATTATTTATTTAATCATTCATTTTATTAAATTAGCGGCAAAAACTAAACATTAATCAAAATTGGTTAGTACGACCAAATTTCGTACTCTAGTCGCCATTATTATTATTATTATTGTTTGTCAAAAATTAAAACTTGTACTATACCTGTAATAGTTTTTATTTGTTTCCCCCGATTATGACAATAAAGAATGGAATATATGTAAAAAAGTGTTCATTATCCCAATATTGTGACAAATCCTTCGTCATTTCATCTTTTGTAGGCATTTTTTCTTTTTGTAACAAACAATTTAGGGTTCTCTTCTCTTCTGTAGTTGCTGTTAGTCTGGGAATTTTGATTAGACTAATTTCTAGTATCCAACGTCAATTGATTTAAATCAGCTAGTTGGTTTCTTTTAGTAAATCTTCAACTTTTATCTTCAAGTTAATAGCTTCTTGTTATAAATAAATTTCTTTTATTCTTACCAACCCTTTTTCGTGAATGTCACAGTGCTG